ACACAAAGAAAACAAAGGTTAAAGAATAAAGTGTAAAGTTTAGAGGATAAGTCTGGGGTGATTAAATTTGGTAAGTTTTTATGAACGACTGAATTATGAACGACGGACGGTGTTACGCTCATGTCTTAAACTTAGGAATAGGCGACATTACGAAAGATATCATTCCAGTGGTTTCCTTATTTGGATTGATCAATAAATGTGCCGTTTTTGTCCGACAATCCTACCTTACATGAATACCTGGAAGAAAGAATCGGCCCATATTCCAAATGCGCAATTTTTAAACATTATAGCAGAAAGAGATGGTGGCCAAAATAAAAAGCATTATCTAAGACTTTTAACTTAAAAATGGCATTTTTGTGGAATACCACTACCATATTTTTTCAAACCACTCTTCTGTCTAATTATCTACAAACTGCCGGCATGGATATTTAGCAATCTTACCGGATGGTCGAAAAAACACTGTCATCGCTTAAATTACTTTCCTGTGATTTTTGTACTATTTCAAAGGAAGTCAGCACATTTATAAATTTAGTTAACGCCCAGTTTTCAGAAAGTATCACACCGTTACAAGCAAAAGAAGAGTTTCCAGTAAAAAAACTAAAAACAACAAAAACATCAGCAGTTATTTAAGAATCTCGAATGTTTTCATCCAAGCAGTTTCCATTCCTTAGATAAATTACCAGAAGATTTCTTAAAAAAAGTTACTGAGAAACTTGAAGCATTTTCTTCTGATATTCTAGAAAATAGTTTAAAGCAGCAGTTATTGGATTTTGCCACCAAATGGCCTAGGCGATCCCAATCACTTTCCGATGAATATTCTGTAGTTAATTTAGAATGTAAAAACGGTGACGATATCGATCCCTTACTAAACAACCCAAATGATATTAAAAAGCATAAAACATGCAAAAATTGCTTATTTTGCTGTTACAGTCTGCTTATGAAATGTATGTCGAAGCCTATCCCGATCTTCAAAGAGCTTACCATTACATACTCACTTTATCCATATCGCAGGTTAGTTGTGAAAGATCATTTTCAAAGCTTAAATATATTTTGAATAGGTTACGAAATAGTTTGGGACAGGACCATCTGGAAGCATTCATGCTTATAGCAATTGAAAAAGATGTTCTGAAATCGTTAGATAATAATGATATATAAGCATTTGATTGAAAATAGTAAGTCATTAAGAGAATTGTTGTCATAAGGATTAAAGTATAGCATATTTCAGATAAGGTGCAAACTTTTTTCTATAACAGCGTTAATATATTTTTTTTTACTTTCTGTATGTTAACCTTTACCTATAATGAAACTTTTACCTCTGTAAGTGACATTAGCTTTTAGTTATTAAAAAACTTTAGAAACTCATTCTAATTTATCTTTCATTTAGTAACCTGTTTACATAAAAAAAAGCTATAATATAAGCAAAGGTGGCCTGGTGGGTATCAATATCGCCCGGCCTGATTTCTAGTGCCAGTCCGCCGCTGGCTATATTATCAGTCTAATTCCAAGAAGCGTCATTGCCAATTCAGCAGAATCATGAGAAACCATGATTAATTAATAAAACCTTTGTATTATAAAATAATTCTTTGTCCTGTTTGTAAACTGTATACAGGCTGTAGTTTTTGAAAACAAAATTTTTGAATGTTTTTGGAAACAAAACTTGTGAGTGAAAATTCAAGGCCGTGACACACCAGCTCGCATTAGCCATAACTCGGGCCTTATGTGAGCTAGAGGGCTCGAAGTGCTCTATCTTTTCATGATATTTTCACAACGTTTTGTGCACTATGAAACTCCAAAAATCAATGGCAAAAAATCGTCAGATTTAAATAAAATTTGATATTACGATAGATTCGACCAAGGCCAACTTGACCGTGTCACTGTGACACATAGTTTTGACGTAAGAAACGTCAAAAGTGGATGTCGTCCGATCGCGACTAAATTTGGTGGGTAAGCTATGTGAGCTACGTGACGGTACACACGCTGCAAAGTTGGATACGATGTTTCGTTTACATCTTCACCAGGGTGGGACGGACAGACAGATAGACAGAAACGAAAGTCTGCTGAAAAGTCACTTAAGTGAAGCAATTTGTTTTAAACAAAGCACAGTTTTTGATAATATTGTTGTTTTTTATACCAGCAACGGCAACGTAAGCACTTAACAGAAGCGCACTTAAAATAAATAAACTTATTTTCTTCACAAACAATTTTATATAAATTATTATATAAACAAAGTTTTCCGGCAAATTATTAACTAATTTACCTATCTCTCAGGAAATCTCGAGTATTTTAATCAGCGTAGTAATAGTAATGACCATGTTATTTTGTACTATTTACGGTTTGTTTTTACATTCAGTCACTCGTGTAGATTCAGCGGAATGTTTATATTTAAAAACCTATATTACATGATAAAGATGTATAACACTACAAATATTATCTTTTTTAATAAAATAAAGATGTTCCAAAAACTCGTTTAAAAAATTGATATTTATGATAGTCCTTGTAATTTTGTGAAATAAATAAAGTCGATCCAGCAAGAGAAGGAGTGATTTTGACAGTCATATATTTTCTCGTTGGCACACTAGGCAGATGTAGAATCTAAAGCCGGTCCCAGACACTACGTGCAATTGGCGAACGTGCGAACATTCGAATTATGTACTGCGGCTTCGGTCACCTTCCCACACGCTACGTTATTTGTAAAAATGCGTCCAATGAAAAATATTTCCCGTAGTAGAGCAACGCGTAGGGGAGCGTGCCGCTAAAATAAAAAAACACGTAAACAAATAGCCGTAGCGTTTGGGAGTAATTCCGAAGTTGACTACGCCCAAAGAATATCTTAATACCGTACGAAATATCGCCGCGCGTAGTCCTCAAAATTTAAAATATTAGCATTTTCAGGCTTCGATTATGTTCAAAAGCGCCACCCTGTGACAAATCACTAAAGTTTCCACACGAGAGTTCTTAAAACTATAATATTCTTTGCTACGCCGCACTACGAGCTCTTTTGATTCGTGCCAGTTTACCGACAACTGCCGGGAAAATGACGAAGTACGAATCTTCGTCGAAGGTAACCTCCCACACGCTACGCGAATAAGCTCGAATACCGAATATTCGCCAAATGCACGTAGTTTCTGGGACCGGCTTAATAAAAGCATCTAACATTTGTATCTATTTGTGATGAGAATGTGTAAAAATTAGGTGAAGTTTTTTTTTACTTGAAATCACTTATAAAAAAAACAGCAAAATATCCAGTATTAGAATTTAGAATAAGTGGGAGGGGGGTTAATCTCTGCGACCTTAGAGATCTATTGTGTCCCCCTTTCTTGAGTTATAACTCATCATACAGTCCCAGGACTTCCTACGGAGACCCGTTTCCTTCACGGTCGAGGAGCTACGACCCAGGCCGGGTAGACGAAACGGTAGCTTGTGTCGCCTGTTGGGTTTAGAGGTAGGAGGTAGGCTCCCGACCCTTGGAGGAGCTGGTAACTTGTATGCCACTTGCGGAAGATGGTCTGATGCAAGTGTCAGCCACCTCTCCTGTAGTTCTCTTTGGGTTTGGCCCCTTGGAACTTTCATGGTTACTGTTCCCAGTGTTGCTAGGGGGTTTCCCCACAGCTCCACCGGTGATGTTTTTATTACTATTATTACCAGATCTCATAGTGTTCCCATGAGTCGCTAGGGACAGTCGGTCCACTTCTACAGAGCCCCGCATGTAGAAGTAAGGGGTAAAATACAATGGAGTGCCCCCCGGTGCCCCAAGGTTGAGGCTGTCCGTAGCCCCGCCCGGTATCGTTATATGTCTTGGTGCACTTCCCTGGCCACGACACTACAGTCAGAGACAAGACGATGAGTGAGATGCTTCTTAGACCAAGCAAAGTGCTAGGGGGGATTCCCCCCAGCACCTGACCAGGAGCTTCCCCACCAACGACAAGGTCTTGCATCTCCTAGGGGAAGAAATATCCAGTATACAGGGTGTCCCAGAAATAAGTGCAAGTATTTTAACTGGTGGTATAGTTCAACCCCAGAAAACGCCTATGAGTTTTTTTTTGAAAAATGTTTTGGATTTTTTTTAATTTTTAGTTAAAAAACATAATTTCCTGGTAATATGGCAACATAGGTATTACATTAAATTTACAAGAAAGAAAATCCAGAAAAGATCCGGTGGTTCTCAAAATTTTAGCAAAAAATCATCTTTTTTTTCGAAATTTTCAAAGTAAAATAACTCCGTTATTTTGGACTTATTTGAAAAACGATAAAAAGAAAATATATGTTTCTTTTATCGAGATCTACCAGCACCCCTTAAAATACTTGCACTTATTTCTGGGACACCCTGCTATAGAAGTCTCCCCAAACACAAAATCATAAAAATTTCTCTGCGGAAATGCATCATTCTCTTTTTTCCGACTTTTAACTGAAATTAGTTAAATGAAAATTTGTTTATGTACGTATGAACTTATCCTAGTAGATACTGTAATTTAGACATCAATACCGTACCGGGAGAAAGCGAAAATAAACAAAAATGAACCAACAAACCAAACCAAAACAAATCTAACCAAAGCAAACTTGAGCTTTAAATTTTATTCCCAGCAACTTTTGTCGCTTTTTTAGATAAACTGTCTTTTGTATAACTTAACTTTTTACATAGGTACTGGAAGTGTTCTTTTGCATATTGTTGCCATGACACATTCTTGTCACATATTAGTTATTTGAACTATGTGAACTTTTTGACTCACACTGTATATCTTTTATTAATATTACGTGATAGTTTTAGTAACTATTGTGATATTATCTTAGGGAAACAAGCATTTCGAATAATTATTGTTTTTAGGTGCTATTTTGTATGTCAATAATCTATAATTTGATTTTTTCGATGCCCCTAAAGTATGCACAGTACTTTAAAAAATTAAGTTACTAGGTGAAATAAAAAAAGACAGGAAAATCTCCTTGAGTGGTTTGTTTTTATTTATCAAGCTTAAGTAGGTTTATCAGTAATTAAATACTTTTAGGTATAAAATAGGAAGACGACTGGCTGTAAGACTTAGTTTGTGTCCATTAGTGGTACCTTGCTTTTAATAATGCTAAGGTAAGAGAATATAGATAATATATTTATTTTAATTAGATCTTAATTAACTGAAAATAGAAGTAGAATTCAGATGAAATTGCCTTTTTATAAATAAATATACAGGGTGAGTTTTAAATAATGTGCAAATATTTTCAGGGCTGGTAGATCTCGATAACAGGAACATATTGTCTCTTTATCGTTTTTCAAATAAATCTAATATAACCGAGATATTTTACTTTAAAAATTTCCAAAAAAAAAAATTTTTTGCTAAAATTTTGAGAACCACAAGTTCTTTTCTGGATTTTCTCTCTTGTAAATGTAATCTACTACCTATGTTGTCATATTATTAACAAATTATATTTTTAACTAAATTTTTTTTTAAAAAATTCCAAATTTTCAAAATTTTTTAGCGAAAAAACCTCCATAATCGTGTTTCTGGGGTCGGAAAATACTACTCCTAAAAATATTTGCACTTATTTAAGACTCGCCCTATATATTATTAGAGTAAATTTTGTTTTCCTGGCGTTTTTGGCATTAAAATTTGGTACACACATTTTAATGGCAAAGCGAATAGCCCTGAAAGGGTACTATTAGGGTTGAGAGCATTACTGGCGGTACTTCTTTAATACTTATAGATACAGTAATTTCAATAAATACCATAAAAAGCTAGGATTTTTGTACGTAAAAAAGGGCTCTTTGTTTAGTTGAAAACGGTGAACGGTTTTAAAGATATTTGCCTTTAAAAGTTAGGATGCATCGATTTTAGTATTAGCAAAATCAGGAGATTCATTTATTTATAATTTCTATACACCACATTTTATCATTTCACTAATTTTCTTAAATTTTAACACCTTGTAGATCAAAAATTACTTTACTTATTTTTAAATGACTTTATATTTTTAAAGTACTTAACCCATGTTCATATAAACTTTGTGTCTTAAATCACACCTTAATTTTTTTACACTACTTAGAAAACACTCTGTATAATTTTGAGTTAAAAGGAAAATCAAAACATTTATTATTCAGCTTCTGTATTTTGAAGTTTTAACGTTCACTGTTTTGTTTTTGTTCAGTTGAAAATTTTCATTCATAATTATTACAGTTAATTCCAGCATCTTCGTTTATTACATTAGGTTTTTTTATTATATCTGCCTTTACTTAAAAAAATAATTTTTGCTATTTTTCTTAAATAATTTTGTTATATTAACTTTAATTTTTTTAAGCTTTACTTGACTTAAAAAACACTGTGTTACAGTATCTTTTATACCGGGTGCATCTCAAACGCGGCTCACCCCCTATAACTTTTTTATTCTTTCAAATAAAAAATCCAGATTTGGTATGTTAGTATATGACATAAATTAGGATTGATTGACGTATTCAATTGTTTTTGGTCACTTTCTGTTTCACCGGAAATGACTACAACTTTTGATTTTTAAATGGCACCTTCGGTATTGTTTTACTTTATTCGATAGAAAATGACATTCTGAATAGAATGACAATTTCTTAAAATCATATGTCAACTTTTAACATTCTCGCTTAATAAAAAATTGTACTTTAAAATTCAATCTAGAGTGCCATGGCTATGTTAAAAACACTAATTCTTCATCAAGGAGCCTTGGAAAAATAGATTTGATCATCTAATGTTTTTCGTGTCTTGTCCTGGCCAGTTGGAAAATGCTCAAATCGTATTTTTAATCATATCTCAATTTTTTCAAATTGAACGAGGGTGGCTCATTAGCATATTTGGAAAAAGCATTTTTTACGAATAAGTTGATACCACATACTTGGTATTTCAAGTCGAATTTTCGTTACAAACCGCAAGTTATAATTTCAAATAAACCATATGCAAAAATGTCAAGAGTTGACACATGATATGTCTATTCAGAGTTTTGTTTTCTATCGAATAAAGTAAAAAAATACCGAGGGTGCCATTTAAAAATCAAAAGTTGTAGTCATTTCCGGTAAAACAATTAAATACGTCAATCAATCCTAATTTATGTCATATACTAACATACCAAATCTCGTTTTTTTCTATTTAAAAAAAATAAAATACTTATAGGGGTGAGCCACTTTTGAGACGCACCCGGTATACTTAAACTCTTTCAACTATTATTGTTTTGGCCCATATTTTGTAAAACTCGATATACATAGAGGATGAGTCTCAAATAAGTGCAAATATTTTTAGGGATAGAAACAACTCATCAGATTTTTTTCGCAAAAAAAATAAAATTTGAAATTTTTCCCAAAAAAAACTTTGATTTTTTTTAATTTTTGGTTAAAAAGCATAATCACTTGATAATACAGCAACATGGTAGTAAATTAAATTTACAAGAAAGAAACCCAGAAAATATTCAGTAGTTCTCAAAATTTAAGCAAAAATCTTTTTTTTTTAATATATAAAGTAAAATAGCTCTGTTATTTTGGACTTAAAAATATGTTTCTTTTATCGATATCTACCAGCCCTGTGTGAAAATATTTAAAAAACTTATTTAAAACTCACCCTGTATATCTAAGTGTAGTTCTTCCTTTGTTCTAATTATAAATACATTAATAAATAATATTTTCTTGCCTTTAGCTGTGTATTTTTTCGAAAGTAGAGAAAAAAAAATAAAAAGAAAATTGTTTTGCTTGTCGTAAAGGGGGGAACCAAGCTCCACCCCCACCACCGGTTTCTGGGCCTACCCGTCATCAGGTGGGCTGTCCAGGGGCTGGTTCTCACCGATACGGAAAGCAAAACTTTTTCAATATCAACAGACGATGTCGTAAAGGGTCGGTGAGATATTAGTGCATCTCCCGTCAAAAGATGGCAATATACATATGTTATTAATAAAAAATATTTTTGTAGGTACGCATTAGCAGTGGTAGCTGGCCTATTTTTGGCCTCTACTGTTACAGTAGTAGTAGCAGACAGGAATCTTGACATACCCTTTCCATTCAACTGTTCAACAAAGACAGTTTGCTCGTAAGTATTTGATTCTATTTATAGACACAATTAAATGAAACAATCGTTAAAAGCTTAATTTGTTATCTCAATTATTTGATAATATTATGACATTGATAAAATAAAATCATTTAAAGTCAATTGATTATTATATAATGACATCTTTAATCAGTGCGTTTAAATAAATGAATAAAAAAAATTATCAGGTTGTAATCTCAATATACCTTTTCTATAAGTAGTTTATAAATAAAATTCGAAGCGATCAACGATGATTGAAATAGTAAGATAAAGGAAATCCAAAAAATTGGCATAATTTGTCAAAAATTTTCGAAAGAATAGGTGTCTGTGTTTAATGCGTTCGTGTGTCGGCGGTACGGCACCCAGGTTTCGCTTCTATGTAACATGGTGAGGATAATTATTACTCGGTACACTGAAAGTTTCGTTTTTGTGCTCAAGTCATGATTGTAGAAAGTTCTGTCTTTTATCTTCTATCTATTTCAATCACTGTTGCTCGCTCAGAATAATACATATATCTAAGTAAATACACTAGAAACACTATTTTTTTCTTAATTCTAAATTAAATATCATAATTTTAAAAGGCAATATTTATTATTTACTCCATATCCATTATTATTAAAATCACGTTTATTTTTAAGTATACTGGCTGTTTCTCAAAAGTGGCTCACCTCTATAACTTTTTTGAAAGTTGATAAATAAACAAGATTTGGTACATAAGTAGGTATATAACATAAATCAAGATTAATTGACGTATTCAATTGTTTTCGGTCACTTCCTTAGTGATTCCTTATATGATTTTTCTTCCTTATATGATTTTCACCGGAAATGACTACAACTTTTAATTTTTAAAAAACACCCTCCGTATTTTTTTACTTTATTGTATAGGAAATAACACTCTGAATAGAATGACTATATCCTATCTCAACTTTTGAAATTCTCGCTTAAAAAATCGTATTTTAATTTTCAATTTTGAGCTAAAAACACTGTGTTAAAAACACTAATTTTTAATCAAGGAGCCTTGGAAAATAGATTTGATGGTCTAATGTTTTTCGTGCCTTGTTTTGGCCGGTTCAAAGATGCCCAAATCATATAGAATGAAGGTGTCTCATTAGCATATTTAGAAAAAGCATTTTTTACGAATAATTTGGTACCACCCATTTGGTACCGTATGATCGAAAAAAACCGGCATCAGTGATGGCTATGAAATGAAGATCGCTGTCATTTTATATTTAAATTTGTATGGGTAATGTCATCGATTGTCATTTCCCAGCCAACTGGACGCCGTTTTTCTTTCGAACATACGGTATTTCGAGTCAAATTTTTGTTGCATTTATGGCCATGACACACTAAATTCAAATTTAAAAAGCTATTTTTTTTAATTGAAAATGTCAAAAGTTGACATATGATATATGTCATTCTATTCAAAATGTCATTTTCTATCCAATAAAGTAAAAAAGTACTGGGGGTGTCATTTAAAAACTAAAAGTTGTAATCATTTCCGGTGAAACAGGAAGTGACCGAAAAGAAGTGAATACGTGAATCAATCCTAATTTATGTCATACACTATCATACCAAATCTCAATTTTTTTTGGTTAGGTATAGGGGTGAGCCACGTATACGCCACCCGGTATACAGGATGAGTCTTAAATAAGTGTAAATATTTTCAGGTCTCGTTGATGTCGTTAAAAGAAACATTCTTTTTTTTTCAAATAATCACAAAATAAACGAGTTATTTTAATTTGAAAATAAAAAAAAATTGGCTTAAATTTTAAAGATCACTAGATTTTTTCTGCGTTTTTTTGCATGTAAATTTAATCCACTACCAATGTTGCCATATTACCAAGACATTATGTTTTCGAAAAGTAGGAAATTTTCAATTTTTTTTCGCGAAAAAACACTGCACTTGTTTATGAGTCACCCTGTATAGTTTAACCATTATTTTTCTTTCCAAATAATTTAGTTAGAGTTATTTAATTGTAATCTATCTTGCAGGGGATTGAGAATAAAACTGCCCAACGAAAATGAAGAATATAACGCAGTGTATGATGACTATGTCGACGGCGCACTATATTTCAATGTATCAAACAAAGTTGGTAATAATTTGACTTTGCTCATCGGAGGACTCGAAAACAACAGATTCCGTATCATTATCGAGGAACCAGATCATCACAGATACAAGTTGCAATATTCCCTTGAAAAGGAACCTACAAATGTCTCGTAAGTTTTTTTTTAATTTATATGGAAACACATTATCATGATATTAGAAATGTTTCACGCTTCACAGTCTTCTTCTGGAATACATTAATCGTTCCTATAATTAATTATTTCTATACAGTCTATATAATATACGGTATGCAGGGTGGTCTGAACTGTATTCCGGAAAATTTCACACCTCTACTTTTCAACCAATAACATGCTTTAATGTTGACTAGTTACCATGGCAACTGAAAAAATTTCCGGAAATTTTTTCGAGGCGCCACGAAACTTTAGTGGAAATTTTTTGACAGTTGAAAAGGTAAACATAAGATCTACAATCATAATGTGAATGAACTACAATGTCTATATATTGAAATATTACCCATTTGAGTTTTAGCATTTGATGTAACTAAGGTTGGTAATATTTTTTATTTAAGGAAATATGTTAGATATACCTACATATGAATTTCTTCGAAATTGCCATGTTCTAAAAAATATAGTTCTGCCGCCTTTATTTAACTAAAGCTGGTATTTTTCTATTTAACGAAATATGATGGATATATCTATATGATTTTTTTAGAATTTATTTCATGTTGAATTATCTTCAATGCCAAATCTTTAATGATATCGACTAATATAGCAAAATAATAACGAAACACATTTAGTAATTATAGGTTTTATTAATATTAAAAACACAATTATTGTAAATGTTTGTAGGCTGGCTTGAATTGGTGGTTTGAATCTGGGTATTTTCTGTTTTATTTTGCATTGTGCTCTGATCATGATTGAACTGGCTAGTACTTGATGAAATGCTCCTCATGGATTCAATCATCTGTTGATGATGTTCAGCGTCCAACTGTAAGTAAGGTTTGATCGACTGACTATTACTATGTCCAGTAATTTTAATGAGCTGTTGTTCACCAACTCCTTTCTTGGCCAAATTCGAAACAGCTGTTGCTCTTGCAGAATGATTGGTTATTTTAACTTTTTTAGTGTCAATTCCTATATCTGAAGCTGCTGATTTAAACCATGAAGATACAATGTTCTTACCAACTGGGCTATTCTTGTACCATCCTTTCGAATTGGGTTGATTCCAGTATGGGTTTGGTGTTAAGAATAGTCTGTCGGTTTGAATAAGATTTCCCCTTTTTTCCATCAACTTTCTAAACAAGCGAACCGGACACATTTGTGGATTTTCGAAATTTCTAATCAACCATTTACTATCCGACAGTTTTTTAGAACCACCTTGTGTGGTTTTAGAGAAAATTGGATTATATTCTATCCGACCTTTTGGGTTTCCGAAATTATCAGTTTCTTCTTTGAAGTATTGGATACAAGCAGAATGTCCTTCCCCTCCTCTCCATGCCAGCTCATGTGAAACTATGTGAAAAAATTTACGCTGCAACCCATCTGGAGTATTTTCATCCCACATTTCAATAATTTTTTTGTATTCGTCACTGGTTAAGGCTGAAGCACTCACTTTTCTTTTTGCTGAATCTCTCTGTAGTATTTTGCGCTTAGCATCGCGTGCAGCTCTGGCGGTCACAAATTCCACATCAGAAAACGGATTAAATTTTATTTTATATTTTTCGTAATAAATTTCTTGCAACTGCTTAGCAGTAGAGTTCCACATCACTTTGACCACACTTTCCTTATAATCTTCAAAATTTTTCTTTTTCATATTAAATGCGTGTCCTCCAGTATAGTAGCCAGCTGTACTACACTCATACACTCATGAATATTATACGACTTTTCATCACAAAATTCAACAAACTGTTTCCATACACTTGATTTTGATTTTCGGGTGTTATCTGGTTTTATATTTTCAATTTCTTCTTTAATGACTTGTTGGTTTACTTTTCCAAATCGCGACATTTCGCTATACACTTCTTACTCTACGTACAGACGCACATAGGAGTATTTATGGCAAAAATGCGCGCAAAATTATTTTATTATTTTTTTTCAGTCTAAAACACGTATACTGAAATAAAAATATCATTCTAAAATATAACATTTTATATTTGAAAAAATACTATTGAACTCCGTGTTATATACAAGGGGTTTCACTAACGTCTCCAAGAAAAAAATGTGGATTGGTATCTTGAATTAAAAAACATACCAAATTTTTTTTTACGTAAAAATTATAAATGTGATGTAATAGTTTATGGTTAAAGATAGAATACAGGTACATATAAAAAGTAATAAACGAAGAAAAAGAAAAGTAATAACGAAACAATATGCGAAATGAAGTTTTTCGCAATATAGGTATACTCTGAATAAAACAAAGAAAACTTAATTATTTCAAACGAATTAGTCAGTCCTCGTAATCAAAATCCTGATCAATATCATCTACTAGGTTTTCATCACCCGATTCATCATCTAATACTTGATGGACGATGCTGATGTGTGGTGGATCTATTGCCACCATAAGATCCAATGCTTCTTTGGAAAATGGCTTTCTTTTCTTTTGATGTTTTGGACGGATAGAGCTTAGATATGGATCCGAAGTTAGCAGTAGTCTGTTTAAAATATCTCGGTTGCACTGCTCACGCGAAAATTTTCTTGAGAATCCAAGCCTGTACTGCCGAAAAGTTTTATTGCGAGCCTCTGCTGCCTCCTCCAACAACTGTCCTATTGGAAGAATTGCGTGACTTATTACATTGGCACCGTGCATTAATACTTTGTGGATTGTGGGTGTCATAGGACACCATCCGTATAACTGAACATACATAGTTGCTGTGTTTTTTGCGTATTCACTAAACTTTGGAATATCTATGCTCATTCCACTAGAAATTACTTCCAGAATTACTCTAAACCGTGTAATTAAGTTTATATCGATTCCGGTTATTCGGGCAGATGTATGTAGGTCCGCAAAAAATCTCCTTGACGTGTTGCCGTCATTGGTGTTCCCAAATCCTGCTTTGGGAACATCCACCAATAAACCCATTTGTTCCCTGAACATCTTTTGTATTGTTGCTTTCCGTTCCTTGACAATATCTTTTTCTGCTTGTGTACGGGCCTGCCACTTTTTAAGTGGAAGCTTGTAGGCTAAATGCAATAAGGATTCAAAGAACCGAATTCTTGCATGAAGAACAGACAGTCCAAATTGTAAAGCTTCGACATTTATTTCTTCTACATTTAACAATTTATTAAAGTCTTTTGCGGTCTGCCCACAAATATAGCAACGCATAGTAGATGTAGTGTCAGTGGCGGCATTACAGACCTTTCCGTCAACCATGGTTAACAACATGGTATATTTGATTTTTACAATACCATTATCTGTTTGTAGTATTGTTTTATCTAGACTATTTGCTTGGTTGTGTATGTATGCTATTTCTTCTTTTGTGATATCCTTTGTTTCGCTCACAAATCTTATGCGTATAGGACGACAAAATCTTATAGAAGAGGGAACTGGGTTTTGCCATACAATTTTAGTATCTCCATACGTTGTTGTTACAATCAGTCGCAGAGGAACTAGGGAACTTTGAAAAATGTTTCCATCATTATTGCTCACGTCCTGAAATTTTTGTTTGTACTGACTTTGTTGGGAGCCGTCACATCCCCATTTGAGAATCAATTCCAAATTTTCTTTTTCACTTTTTGTACAGGTTTCAATCACCTCGGCTAAATATTTGTACAAACGTAATGATGTATGATCCAATAACGACTGAAGCTGTACCTCAATATGTGTCTCTGTAACTATGATTTCTTCAAGGTAACATTCTTTTTTCGCTTTTTGAAGAAGGGAATAACAAGGGTAGATATTTTTATTTGCCCCATGAAGAATTTCCCACTGCCTCCTTGTAAAGTCACCTTCCACAAAAATGGCCAATGCTTCTTGAGGACTATGTTTTCTAACGCTTACTTGTTTTTCAGAGGATTTAAATGCTTTGCGATATGTTTTTGCTCTCGTTGGGGTAGACATTAGTTCCTTTAGTACTACAGAGGCGTCTGTATTGCCACTAGTGCGTTGACTAATGCTAGCTGCATACAGAAGCTCGTTAGCAGGTACTTGCTCTCTTAATTCTTGAGTTTTGCGTCTTTTACTGCTCTCGCTTAAATCCTGGAAACATTTGGTCGGACGCCCAGCTTTTTGTGTCCTTGTTCCAAAAAAAGGTAACTCTATTGAAGTTGCCAGCCACTTTTCATTATTTTTCATAAAACGGTCTTCTTTGCGACAAGCTGCAGACCATCTTTGCTTAAATTCGGTTCTAAAAAATCTTAATGCGCGATCCAACACAGCTGCTTTTTCTACAGGACATTTGGTGATTTCTGTAAGTTGTAATTGCAGTGAGTTAAGTTTTTCTTCGATCCTTTTTCCTTTATCTTCTTGCATAAGGGCGTACAAGAATCCTTTTGTATAGCGCCTAACAGAATCTACACGTTCTGAAAAACCAAAAAAAAAATGCTACAGTTTATCTCTAACGATATTGGTAATTTTCAAATAACTAGCAAAAAATCAAACATAACCAGATTATCCAAAAATTTTATGGAGTCTGAGAGCAGGGCCCTCGAGTAAGCAGTAAGCAGGTGCAAATCAGAGCAATAACTTTCAAAGTATTGCACTGTATTTCGATTTCTGTTGGTCTGAAATTGCCAGATGTTTCAATATTTTATTGGTCAATATTTTAATTTTCTTACCGAATACCACGCAAGCTTAAATTATTCCTGGAAATTTTCTTTCGGGCACGAATATTTTAGGAAAATTATCCCTCGTCTTCGACTCGGGATAATTTTCAAAATATTCGTGCCCTCAAAAAAATTTCCGAAAATAATTTAAGCTCTTGTGATATTATAAGTGAAAATTCGGCAGCATATTCTGCAGATAAAAATAAGTAAAAAAGTTCGTATAAATGTAAGTTCTAAAATGCTTAGTTTCGGAGGTACAGAGGGTGTAGAAGTTTCATTTTTATTTCTATTTTTTCCAAATAATTTCTTGATGTCAATATGGCTCCTACTTCTAGAGGGCGCTACCTACATATTTTTAACTCGTTTGAAAAGTAATAACTTTTCGTCCGTACCTGTATAAAATTATTAAGTAAAAAGGGACTCTTAAAGGGTAAGAATCGCTACGAGTAATGGTTCTCGAGATATTTGAAATCAAATTTATCAATACATTGACATAAAATAATTGACTATTTTTATTTAAATATTTTGAGAACAGTTGCTTATAGCTATTTTTACCAAGAGACATTTTTTACGTAAAAAATCACGGAAATGTATATTTTTTCACTCAGTAGTTTTATACAGGTACGAACGAAAAGTTATTACACTTCAAAACAGTTAAAAAATAATCAGGTGGCGCCCTCTACAAGTACGGGCCATATTGACATCAAAATCAAATTTCTTATAACAAAAAACTCTCAGACACCAATTTTCATCAAAATATTGACGTTAATTCAGGAATTGTATGGAAAAAATCGAAATAAAAATGAAACTTCAACACCCTGTATCTCCGAAACAAAGCATTTTAAGACATACCTACATTTATACGAAGGTTTTTACTTATTTTTATCTGCAGAATATGCTGCCGAAGTTTCCGGAATACAGTTCGGACTACCCTGTATATTGAAATTTGGGTAAATACTTGGTAAATACCCATGTTTTTGCACCCGGTACTTAAAGGGTCAATAAACGGTATATTGAATTTGGGTAAATACCATTATACCCAATCATACTCACGTTTTTAATTTAAGGTATTAATGCCACATAATAAAAAGAATAAAAATCAAAATTTTTGTCCAAAAAAATAAAAAATATAGACAACCTATGGGTGTTGCATCGTCGAGCGGGACATAGGAAATCCCATGTAAATTTTAATGGGGTCAATTATTGGCTTCCTTAATTATTTTAGAGAATAATTCTATTTAGGTTTATTGAAGAGCACTAAAACCCACATTCAAAAGAATAACTTTAGATATTTTTGATTAGCCCGTTTACGAGTTATCGCCGATTTCTTTTTATATATTTCTCCTTTCTTATGGCCCTGTATTTACTTATGAGCACCAGTCAATGTAAAAAACAACTGTCAAATGAAGTTGTCATTTCAGAAATTTATATATTTAGTGCTTTATTATTATTATTAAAAACTCATACCTACATACTGAAGAAAAAGTATTGATGATTAAATGGTATTATGAGTTGTGAACAAGGAAATAGTTATCAAAAGGTGTCGGACATGTTTGCTGCTCTGTATCCAAATAGACCGATACCTACCTGGAAAATCTACAATCGCAAGGAATATCCAGTGATTTGAGACCAAAGGTACCCTAATAAATAACTGCAGATATGAAGCAAGGCAGGAACAAAGAGAAGATGCAAGAAATGATACCGACTTGGAAGTTTTTTGTGCGTGGAAGAGAACGATGGAAAGATCAGCACAAGGAAACTTGAGGATGAAATAGGAATAGATCACACTACAGCATTTCGAATTTTGAAACGAAATAAGTACTATTTGTTCAAATATGAAAAGCACCAAGAGCTACGAGATGGGGACAAATACGGCGGCAAGCGTTTTGTTTTGATATGATGGAAAGAGCAAACACGGATAGGTAATTTTTAAAAAACATATGTTTCACTGATGAATGCACGTTTACCTTAAATAATGAACCCAATGTTCAAAATTATCGATATTGGAACAAAGAAAACCAATACAGGTTTGTCGAAACAAAGACGCAATATCCACAGAAAGTAAATGTTTGGGCAGGGACATTCGGACACAATATTATCGGGCCATTATTTCTTACGCGAAATTTAAATGCAGAATATTATTTGGAACTACTCGAAAATCATATTTTACCTACTTTACATGATGCCGCTAGGGAAAATCAGGAAGTTTGGTACCAAATGGATGGCTGCCCGGCACATAGTACCCTAGCTGTTCGGGAATATTTAGACAACAGTTTTAACGGAAACGTTATTGGCCTAAATCATACAGTAAATTGGCCAGCAAGGTCTCCTGATATTTCGCCAAACGATTTCTTTCTGTGGGGACATTTAAAAAAACAGGACATATAAGGATAAAATATACCCAAATCTAGACGAGTTAAAAAATGCTATTTCTGCCGAATGCAATAGAATTTCAGTTTACCAACTAGCGAATGTAAGAAGAGAATTTTATGATCGCCTGGGTTATTGTCTAGTAGTCGATGGAGGAATATTTAAACATCTTCTTAAATCCTAAAGTTCTAAAAATTTAATAGTACCTAAATTAATAAGTTATTGAATATTGTAATAATACTATAATTAACCTTGTAATTAATTACTTTATTTTACTTTAATTCATATTAATTTGTATTTATAAATACATCTTTAAGATTTCCGATGTAGGAATGAGTTTTCAATAACAATAAAGGCACTAAATAATTAAATTTCTGAAATGACAACTTCATTTGACAGTTATCTTTTACCTTAACTGGTGCTCATAAGTAAATACAGGGCCATAAGAAAAGAGAAATATTTAAAAAGAAATCGGCGATAACTCGTAAATGAGCTAATCAAAAATATCTAAAGTTATTCTTTTGAATGTGGGTTTTAGTGCTCTTCAATAAACCTAAATAGAATTATTCTTTAAAATAATTAGGGAAGTCAATAATTGACCCCATTAAAATTTACATGGGATTTCCTATGTCCCGTCCGACGATGCAACACCCGGTATAAAAATTCATCAAAATCGGTCAAGCCGTTTAAGAGGAGTATAGTAAGGCTGATGGACTTTTCTCAAAGATATTAAAAAGTTTCTAAGTTGACAGAGGAGTTTAATCAATAATTCTGTTTCAGATTAACTGTGAATGCAATTAGTGAATTCTATGTGATAGCTTCGGACAAATTCAAAAATAAAGTAATCGTCCACTACAATCCATTAAGCATCGAATTCTACCATGATGATGCATTGGCAACTGTTTTGGAAGGCAACAGGATCATTTTCCAAAATGTAAGTGATGGTAAAACATAACTTCAGCTCAACAATGATAATTACACTCACCGGCACGAAAAGCGGGCACCTAAAAATTTTCATGTATTTTAAAGTTTTATATATTGTGTTCTAGTGGACCGATTTTGATGATTTTTTAAGCAATTTGTAGCTAAATTATTTGACTTTTAATAACTCTTTCCATACTCTTTCTAAATTAAAAATGAAAGTTGCCATCTGTTAATTATACAAGGGAAAACAAAATGTGGATATTTTGGTGAAAGTTTGAAACACTCTGTGGAGCACGTTAACAAATCAAAAAATTTAAAAATAATTTTATCATCTAGGTATATCTTTTCTCAATAGTTTGTTTTTTGATTCATCTTAATAGCTTTATATTTTTTGGAGATAATCGCTTTTTTGAAAAAGACACTAACGTATTTTTCGTATTTTTGACATTAAAACCATGCCATTGCTTTTGGTCCTAGTCAACAGACATAAAATAGTGTTAATCTACGACAATGTCATTATGACACACGCAAATTTTAAAATAAGAAACAAGCAAAAAAAGGTACCTAAATAAATTTATTTATTGTAAACATTAATTATAATATCAGTACAATTGGTTAAATTAATTCCAGACGATGACAGGTGAGTTGAATTTTTAGAAAGTAAATTTATTTCCTGAGTGCTTGAAGTTGTTGAAGACCCATCATTGCCAGAAATGTTACCCAAAATATTACATGACACTTTTTTCTTATTTTCTTTGGAATTTTCTATATAGCTCTCTGCCACTGTGTTAGAGCGCCAACCACCATGTCTTTAAACAGTTAATAAATCCACTCCTGAATCTGCAAGCAACGACGCAGACGATCTACGGAAACAATGTCCAGTGTATTGTTGTGGAGTTGGAAGACTTAGGAACAATGCTATTTTATACGGCATTTTCCCTAATAATGCCAACGGGTTGCCTAATACATTTTCCGTTTCTGTACCCCACAAAAAATTGAATATGCTCTTTGTTGCTTGGCCGCATAGCTATATATCTTCGAACCATTTCCACCATATTTATTCCTTTAACATTCCCTTTCGTTATAAAAAAATCTCGTGATATCTTTGTTTTCGTAAATGGAATAATGACATGAATACATTGTCCTTCATCTTTAACATTTTGCAGCTGCAGATTTGTCAACTCGATACAGCAGGCTCCCGCAAGTCCCACTATCAATGAAACTTTTGTCAGGAAATAAGTTTTATCATCGGCTTCCAAAAAAAAACGAGTTATGTCTTTTTTTCTTAAAATTCTCGATTTTTTTGACCGAAATCCTTCCGATTTTCTTTTTAGAAATGCAATTAAATGGACGTACTTACTAATATCTGTATTTTTCTTCACTGATATAACTGAACGTAGCATGGAATAATATACCCAAAGTGATGAAGCCTTCCTATGTTTTGAAAGATGTTCAAAATATGCCAGGAGAACCTTTTCGTTACTACTATTCTTGATTCCTTTCCCTTCACACCCATCTTCAAGTTTTACATAGGCTTGCTCGTACGTTTGTCTTGATTTTTCGGGAAGTAGGGAATCGACAACGTTTTGCGCAATGCCTTCAATATCCGAAGGAACACTTTCAGAATCAGAATCACCCATATTAATATTATTTTTTGTTTTTTGCTAAAACTGAGCGTTTAACACAAAATTGAACATCAATAATTGAGTTGTCAAAGTCAAAATGGAAACAATCAACAAGCACGGTTACCACGGCGTTGACTAATATGGGCACCTAATAATTTTGAATTTTAATTTTTATGAGGATATCTCTGATATTTTAAATTAAATCAAATCTCTTTGGATCGTCCCTCGTGTCGCGTCGTAGATTAAATTTTGAATGATACACGTTCGATACGAACTTTTTAATGAAACTTGTGTAACTAAGCCACTCGGCTAATGCCTCGTGACTTAACGTTACACGCGTTTTATTATGATGTTCGTATCGAACTTGTATCATTAATAACTATTATGATTTATGTATTGTCATTGTCTTTAAAAAATCATTCAAAAAATTAAAAATCATCATTATTATTGTCTTTTGGGCAGTGACTCTAGCAGATATGGTTTTAATTCCAAAACTTATGGTCTCTAAAATGATCAATTAAAGCAGCAATAGCCGATACTTCAGAACATAAAACCGTCTCTACTAAATTAAACGTCAATAAAAAATAATATGACTCTTCAACGACAGTGACATTACAAAAACAAGAAAAACTATTTTATAAGTGTGTTGATGAGGACCCAAAATCAATGCTAAAATTGCTATAAATCGTTACTGTCTTATTCAAAAGCGAATATCTCCAATAAAAATAAAGCTATTGAGATGAATCAAAAAACAAACTATTAATAAAAGGCGTACTTAAATGATAAAATGATTTTTAATTAATTTATAAAGTATTTGCTTCGTTAACATATTCTACAAGATGTTTTAAACTTTCACCAAAGTATCAACATTTTGTTTTCCCTCGTATAATTGACAGTTGGAAACTGTCATTTTTAACTTAGAATAAGACACTAAAAAGTCAAATAATGTATCTACAAATTGCTTAAAAAATCGTCAAAATCGACCCACTAGAGCAAAATATATTAAACTTTAAAATACATTAAAATTTTAAGGTGCCTATGCCTGTTTTTGGTGCCGGTGAGTGTATTAACGTTTTGCTCATATATTTTGCATTAAAAATATATTAAACTAAATTTTCTTCTGTTTTTCACCACTAGAAGAAAATCTACAAAATAAAAGTCATTTTTTCTAAATACCACTGCGTTGGTTCAACGCAGACCAAATTGCAGTGGTATTTGACTATGGAATCATATTTGCCTAACGAACATTAAATGCTTAACGTTTTAGGAGCTTTATACCTCCCCGTTTATTTTTGCTCTTGAGAGGTAAAAATACATTTTATGTTTATATTATACAGGGTGTCAAAAAAATAGTATATCTAACTTCGTTGGGTGATTCTACAGATAAAAATAAAACAAAAAGTTTGGATGAAAATTGGTGTCTGGGAGTTTTTTGTTATGAGAAATTTGATTTTGATATCAATATGACTCCTATTTGTAGGTGGCACAACTGGTTTTAACTGTTTTGAAGAGTAATAACTTTTCGTCCCTACCTGTATAAGACTACTGAGTGAAAAAATATACATTCCATGACTTTTTACATGAAAAAAGTCTTAAAAAAATCTTCGTAAAAAAAGATCGCTACGAGAGCAACCGTTCTCAAGATATTTAGAATGGAAATAGTTAATAGTGTCATTATTGACAAAAAATAAACAAGTTGAGTAGATTGATTATTTGACTGAAATAATAATTTTGGGAAATTTTTATTTTTTTAAATTAATCATAAATTTTTCTGCGAAAAATGATGATAAAACCGTTTCTTTTCAATTTTTGGCACAAAAACATGTCAATGATGACAGGTATTGATAATTTCGATTCCAAATATCTCGAGAACCATTACTTGTAGCGATTTTTACCAAGAGACTTTTTTTACGTAAAAATATATATTTTTTTTTACTCAGTATTTTTATACAGGTACGGGTAGTTGGCGCCCTCTACAAGTAGGAGTCATATTGACATCAAAATCAAATTTCTCATGTCAAAAAACGAGACACCAAATTTCATCCAAATATTGACGTTATTTCAGAAATTATTTAGAAAAAATCGAAATAAAAATAAAACTTCTACACCCTGTATCTCTCAAACTAGCATTTTATTTATTTATACGAAATTTAGAAAAAAATATTATACAGAGTAGTCTTAAATAAGAGCAAATATTTTTAGGGCTGCTAGATCTCGACAAAAAAACATTTTTTATCTTTAGTGTTTTTCAAATAAGTCCAAAATAACCGAGTTTATTTTATTTTGAAAATTTCCAAAAAAAATGATTTTTTGCTTAAATTTTGAGAACCACTGGATCTGGGTTTTCTTTCTTGGAAATTTAATCTACTACCTATGTTATCATATTATCAAGAAATTATATTTTTTACCTAAAAAAAATTCCCAAATTTTTTTAAAAAATCCCAAATTTAAAAGAAAAATTTTGGCCAAAACACCTTGGACTTATTTAAACCTTACCCTGTATATCAAGTCTGTAATCAAATTAATCTGCAAATAAACAAACAGTTTGTTTGCATTTTGCTTGTATGTGTTGGGTCACAATTATACAATAACATTTTTACAATAATTTTTGCACATGTTTATGGGCATTTGAAGCAAAAGATAACATATTAGAGTTGAACTGAAAAAATGAAAATTGAATTTTCTGACTGCATAATATTGTAAACTAGGATGCTCATTTTCTCATCATTTATTTCAGACCGAGGAAGACCAAGATTTCACCTTCGGCGTCAGATTTGTCGGTGCTGAACGCTTGATTGGTCTACATGAGCACGTTGATGACCTCTCCCTTAGACACACAGCCGATTACAGTATCGACCCTTACAGATTGAGAAACACAGATTTCGGTATGGTTAAGTATGATCTGAACACAACAGAATCTATGTACGGATCCGTCCCAGTCATTTACGGTTTTGGGTGAGTATTATTTTTTACCAACTTCCTCCAAATGTCTGATTCTACACTCAGATGCGCAACAGAGAAATTTTTGGTCAAATTAGCAAGCCGTATATAATTATATTAACTTTAATTTGGAAACTCAGCGTTTTATAAACTTTAGTAACTGACATATTATACAGGGTTAATCGAGAGGTTGTTTTTTTATCCTAAAATATAATTTTATGGTCAAAACCATGTCTACTGAGCATTTTGTTTTTTGGGTCATGTCAATACATGCTTTGGTTAATTTTTAAGAGCGAAATGAACTGATCACAATCAAATTGCAATTTTTTTAATTGTCATTACTTTTGATGTAATTTTTTAATACGACGAAATGGTTTTGGTGGCTATTGTCGTAACGTCATATTACGCTGCATTGGATACTCTGTACTAAATTAAAAAACCGTTAAAGGCTAACGATAGAATCCTGGTTTTAATAAACATTAATAACGGTAACGGAACTAACGATATTAAAGGAAACATCTGTAATACTCAAGTATACAAACAAAAAAAAATTGTAAAAATACCCTAATACGTTCAATTACTTCCCCTGGCTGCTATAACCTGCCTGCCTGTATACGTCCGTTCATACTGTCATTGAGGCTACATAAGTCATATTGCGTTATGCTTTCCCATTCTTCTTTAACAACCAAGTGAAGTGCATTTAATGAAGCTTGTACCACTTCGCGACCTCTGACCCTTCTGTCAAGCATTTCCCAAACGTCGAATATGATGGACAGTTTATAGTAATATATAGTTCACAATAATCACCAAAGCTAGCTTGTCATATTGAAAAATAACTTCAAAAAGAAATTATAATTGAAAAAATTGCAAAGTGTTGGTGGGAAGTTCATTTCGCTCTTAAAATTAACCAAGACATGTATTGACATGATCCAAAAAACAAAATGCTCAGAAGACATGGTTCTGACCGTAAAATTATATTTTAGGAAAATTTACAGACGAAATTATTGCGCAGGGTGTGTTAAAGTTACGGTAAAGAACAATCTCTCGATTATCCCTGTATAATGTGCCAAATACTAAAGTTTATAAAAAACTGAGTTTACGAATTAAAGTTGATATAATTATATACAGCTTGCTAAAAAATTTATGAAAATAGGGCTAAAAATAACAAAAATAAAAATATAACACTTTAAATTTTACCAAAATTTTCTCCGTTGCGTTTTTTATGCATCTGAGTGTAGTAGTCAAACCAAGGGGACTGCCAGACCACCAAATCCAAGATGGCGGTGGGTCATAAAATGCTTGCTGTTGAGGTGGTGGAGATGAGCCAAGTATAGTGGAGCTGAAACAACAGGCTGGTCTGAAAACAATAGTTATAACAGCTGTAGCCTGGTTTAAAGCAGCCATATCGTTTTAATAACTGCTATAACAGGTTTTATAACAGTTTTAACCAGTTCTTTAACATCTATAACTAGTTTTATAGCCGGTTCTTTGGTCATTTATAGCCCTTGGAAAAGCCGCCGTCTTGGATTTTTACGAAAAAAAGATGCTCAAACTTCATATTAGTTTCAAAATTTTTATTGTTCGTTGAATTATTATATCCTGTTTTACGGTTTACTGGACTGATTAATATATTTATTTAAAAAAGAAAATCTAGGAACTAGTGGGGTTGCAGTCGGAAGGGTTTGACAAAGAATTAATACACTTTGTTAATTGTCAAGCTTTCGGAATTTATTCATTCCTTCCTCAGGATATTAACGTGGTACAAGAGACCTTTATAAAAAAAACTACATTAAAAAATTGGCTTGTGTTGAAAACTCCACCGTCTTCAGACGGAATTGAATTTTTAATCGAACATATCGTAATTATTCCAATGTTTTAAATAAATATCAGGCGGCTTCACCGCCTCACAAGAGCACTCTCTTTTTTGTGGTTGACTGGTCAGCGATGCTTCACGGTGGAGTTTTCAACACAAGCCAATTTTTTAATGTAGTTTTTTATGAAGGTCTCTTGTACCACGTTAATGGCCTGAGGAAGGAATGAATAAATTCCGAAAGCTTGACAATTAACAAAGTGTATTAATTCTTTGTCAAACCCTTCCAACTGCAACCCTACTAGTTCCTAGATTTTCTTTCTCACTAGTCAGTCGAGACTACTTTCTGTTTATTTAAAAAAGTATATATTTTCTCTGCTCATAATTTTTAAAAAATATTTCTAAAATTGTCTATGATTTTTTTAAGGGTATGTTGTTAGGAGTATGTGGTCTATAAGCTAACCTGTGTCATATCTTAATTTTATTATTTGTGCTTACAGAGCCAACACTTCCGGTATCTTTTTGCACAACGCAGCTGAGATGTTTATTGACATTGATAATAACAGAAAATCAGCTTATTTCATGGTTAATGGAGGTACTCTTGACTTATTCGTCTTATTAGGACCTTCTCTAAAGGAGACTGTCAGACAATACGTAGATTTGACTGGAAAACCTCATTTGCCTCAAGTAAGTAATCATTTGCTAATGTTGTTAATAATGGATCTGTAAATCTAAAGAATATCTAGCAATAAATATAAGAAGTATATAACAAGATTGTTATATACTAAATATACTGGTAAATATATTTAATTACAGGTAAGATGAGAAAGAATATCTAATTTTTTTGTATAATTTGTGTTTTTTTGCAAGTGCAGAAGAATTGTTTTTTTTTAAGATTCCTTTATCATGTATCATGTTTGTTCTCGGTACTGTTTTTGACGTTGATAGCGTAGTGTGTCTTCTGTTAATTAAATCTAATTTTATAATAGGACTACTCTAGTTCTGTACCCTAAGTACTCTTCTTCTTCATGTGCCTTCTCCTCATCGGAGGTTGGCGACCATCAATTGGAATTCCTCCCTGTCTTGAGTCAAACGGATAATTGCACTGGCCTCTTCTATATTAAACCACTGGCGCAAATTCCGCAACCAGGAGGACCGTTTAAGCCCGATGCCTCGTCGTCCTTCAATCTTTCCCTCAACGATCAGCTGTAGGAAACTATATTTGTTATTTCTAAAAATATGACGAAAATATGCTGCTTTCCGTCGTTTTATTGTAGTCAATAGTTCTTGGTCCTTACACATTCTTTCTAATACTTCGAGATTTGTTATTCGTTCGGTCCAGGATATTTTCAACATTCGTCGGTATAACCACATCTCAAATGAATCCAAGCGTGACATGGTCCGTGCCTTCAACGTCCAACCCTCGACTCCGTACAACAATGTAGAGAGTACATAGCATTTGGTAGCTCGCCATCGAGTAGTCAGATTCAGGTCTCGGTGGCAGAGTAGAGTTTTCATTTTGAAAAAAGTGTTTCTGGCTATTTGAATTCTATGTTTGATTTCTTTATCAGAATCCCATTTATCATTTAGCCAGCAACCCAAGTACTTAAATCTTCTTACCCTTTCTATAGTTCGATCTTCTACTTGTATCCTCATATTTTCAATATTTAGTTTGCTGATAATCATAAATTTTGTTTTGTTTATGTTTATTTTAAGACGATGACTCTGACTGATACTGCTAACTCTGTCCACCAGGCATTGCAAATCTTTCTCATTGCTAGCTAGGAGCACCGTATCGTTAGCATATATACCCTTAGTACAGAAATACTATTTCTGTTACTATTTTAAAAATGTATTGTAGAATTCTCCTGCTAAAGAGATAAACTATATAGAAATATTGAGATTAAACACAAATGGGTTTTATTTAATATAATAAAACGCTAAGAGATCGAAACAACCGATATTCTACATTTAAAACAGTTATATACAAATATAACAATTTTATTATACAAACACTAAATGCAAATATCAATACAGTGTTCAGCAATAGTGCGTCGGGCATCTGTAGCTCCTAGAATAAAAAAAAATGGAATTTTGTGTAAGTGCAAACCTAAATTATGTACTAGGATGTATTTGATGAAAGTATTTTAACTTCTACAGAGTGGCTCAAAAAAGTGAGTAGATCGGGATAAATTTTTTTAATTGAACACCCTGCATATTATTGCGTTTTTGGCTTCCTTTCAGACCACTTTACATAATCCTAAAATATAAGTAAATATATTTCAATAGTTTTAGAGATATTAATAAATAAATAAAAAATATCTAGTTTTCAGTCTTTCTTAAAAAAATTAATAAAAATACAAGAACTGTTCCGAAAGCAAAACTATATTAAGTATTACTTTAGATGGTCTATACTGAATCATCCCGATCCACTCGCACGATTTTGAGCCACCTTGTGGAAGTTAAAATATTATTCTGAAATACATTCTAGGTTACTTTACTTTAGGTCTACACATAAACAAAAATTCTTTATTATTATAGGAGCTACAGTTGCCCGACGCACTATCGCCGGTTCGGAATAAGATATTTTCACAATGATAATCATTTTATTAGATACCGGTTACTGTAGTTCTTCTGTAAGAAAAATATCAATTTTAGTGTTATATAACAACAGTAATATATTATGATGTAAAAACGGTTTAGCTTTAATAATGTTTATATTAATCGTGATCAAGTACTATCGTAACAAATACAACTTGCAAGTAGCACTGAAAATCAAAAAGTTCTATAATTTTATAGTATAAACGACAATGCTAGTTAAAGAAACTGTCTTATAAAATTTGCTCAACTATAAACCTTCTTGATCAAGCACTGTTCTTATATATGATAATATCTTTAAAACCCGTTTATTTTTAGCTTTGGGCTTTGGGTTACCACCAATGCAGATGATTGCTACAACACCACCGAAGACGTTAAAGAAACCATCGGCGACTTTGACAAATACGAATTCCCATTGGACGTGCTCTGGCTGGACATCGAATACACCTCCGAACGCAAATGGTTCACCTGGAACGCTTCCAGCTTCCCCGATCCCGTCGACCTATTAAACTGGGTCGATGCCCAAGGCCACCGTAAACTGGTCCCCATTTCCGATCCCCACATCAAGATCGACAACGACTACAAAGTATACACCGATCTGTTGGAGAACAACTACTTCGTAACCAATCCAAATGGCACTCCGTTCGTGTCTGAATGTTGGCCTGGCGAAACCAGCTGGGTGGATTACTTGAACCCCGATGCCAGAGATTACTATGCCAATCAGCATTTGTACACTAACTTCCCATCCACATCCGCTCTTGGTGGTTTCTGGAACGACATGAACGAACCTACTTTGTTTGATAATTTGTACGAAAGATCTTTGCCTTATGATACCTTGCATTATGGTAATGTTAAACATAGGGATGTGCACAATATTTATGGTATGCTCCAGGTAAGATATGATTTTAATCATTGAATAATATTGGACATTTAAACATTTCTTTTCTCAAATATTTTTTTTGTAATATATAAATAAGTTTTCTCCCCTTTGCCAATTAATATAAAACATGAATAGTATATTTTGTTAATCCATTTTACAGTTTTTTTTTGAGACTCCAGAAATACATACTAAATATTTTATCATAACTTCATAAATTATGATTCACTTTTTATGTTTTTTTAATATTTAACTGTTCATTGGAATGATGATTTTGATATATCAACAACACTACAATATTATTTATGGTTTATAGAGAGATTTACTGTATGAGTATACAGTATGTCCCCGGATAGTCTTTACAAGAGAAAAAACTTTTTTTAACGTTTTGAGAAAAATACATTCTTTATAAAAAATGTTACTTGTTCTAAAATAGTTTATCTCGTTTATACTTTTCGAAATTTCCATACCGTATTAAAGAAAATTAAAAAATAAACATGAAAATATACTTGATTTTTTTCTAAATCGAAATGATATTACCATAGAAACGCTTTTTAATTTTTTGGGCTTTAAACTTAAAACGGTATAAAAAATTAAAAAAGTATAACGAGATTAACCATTTTAGAACAAGCAAAATTTTTTTATGAAGAATACATTTTCCTCAAAATGTTAATAATAAAAAAATGTTTTCTCTTGTCGACAATCCGGGGATATACTGTATATTTATACCAATTCTTTTCACTCTAACTCGAACTTAACATTCTGGTAGTCGTATGATATAAACGAATATTTTTTTCTTTTTATCGGGGTATATGTTACAGTAAAAGTCGAAAATTAAGTGATAGTTAACATTCAGTATGAAATGCTAGCAATTACGCATTGGAGCAGTAAATGTGGTAATTTAAAGAGATTTGTCGACTTTCCCTAGTAATTTCAAACATTCACTATATATATACTGAAAGTAACATTTACTAAAGGTTGCCAGTAAAAGTTGTTATTCTATTGTACAGGGCGAGTGTGGTGGGAAAGATTGTTGGTGGAAGTTAGAATAAATAATAATTTTTTTAAGAATATTGGATAGCCTCAATATTCAACCTCATCCACATATCTTAAAATTACAATTTACTTCTTGAATATATTTATTAAAAATTATAGAAAATAACGACATATTATAACCTTCTAAATATTATAAGGGAAAACATAGTAAACATTTTAAAGTGTAGAAAATAATTTAAAATAAAAAACATTCATAGACATAAGATTATTTATTAGTACAGGGCTTTTTTAATAAAATTCTTCATCGTGGACAAAATAAAGTATGCCCATATTTTCTTCAACGGAAGTTATTCGTTTTTTCAAACCCGCTACTTCAAGCATAGTAAAACGTTTAATAAGTTCACAGTCACTAGATCCCTTAATATCTTTTTCTCTTGCATATTTAACTTTTGCTATGATTTCATTATATTGCAAAAATAAAAAACAAGCACTATTATATTCTTGCGAGTGCCTAGCTTACCTTAATTTTTCACAGAAAAATTCTTCCATGGGGAAAATACCGCACAGCACTTTTTACAACGATTATACAACTCCATGTATATTTATCCTATATAGAAGGATGTGATTAATAAGTGATAATCATTTAAGTGATTGTCGCTTGGTGGCCATGTTGTAATTGTCATTTTTTCAAATATTAATTCAGAAATAATTTTAAATAAGTCAGTTCCACAAAATATCCCGTCAATTCTTATTACAAAATGGCAAAATAAGAAGGATATATGTACTTTATTTCTTTGTATAATCTTTTGAATACAACTTGATGTTTCGGAATTACCTAATACTTTTGCCTGACATTCAATGCGATAAAGGCAACACTAGTCGTAGTGTTGCTGGGTAACGCATTTCGTGTCAGGTAAAACTATTATCCGGTAATCTCGAAACATCTTGTGGTATTACATTCGATAACAAAACAAATATACATAACCACAAAAAACAAAGCAAATTTACGCCAGATGTCTGTCACATATACAAAGATGGTCTATCAACGTTATTTAACTTATCCTTATTTATCCTCATATTTTACAACATGTGGCAACCGCGCTTACTGAATCTTTCAAACTCACTGCTATCGTCCAGGGAATGCTAGCATTCACTAGTAAAAGTTGATTTCAAAAATAGCTGTTGAACTTTTACTGGTGTAGTTTTAGCAAATCAGTGAATGTGAGCTTTTACTAGTAATTGTTAACAATCACTGATTTCCAACTTTTACTGTAACATATACAAACATAAGGTACTATTTCATTCATATTTTTAGACAATGTCAACTCACCAAGGTCTTATCGCTCGTGACGGAGGCAAACTGAGACCTTTCATTCTTTCTCGTGCCTACTTCGCCGGACAACAAAGATACGCCAACAAATGGAGCGGTGATAACTGGGGCCACTTTGAAGATCTGAGATTCAGCGTACCTATGGCCTTGACCTCCAACTTGCTGGGAGTAGCCTTCTACGGAGCTGATATTCCCGGATTCTTCGGAACCGCCACTGAGGAGTTGCTCATCAAATGGTACCAGGTAAGATTAAGAAAAAAATAGATTTAAAAAACTTATTTTAACTTTATTAAAGTTATTCAATTCTGTAAAATGCAAAGAAAATAAAACTCTTCACTCATATATTCAACCTTACTTACTTCTAACATACAAGTATTTATATATTAATATACTACTGTTATACACTGGATGTACACTGCTGTAGTTAGATCAATCATCACCTATGGAGCACTAGTATGGCGGGAAGCGGTACTTAAACGGACTAATAGAAAGAACCTCAAAAATACAGCGATTACAGCTCTAAGTACAATTGGATCAAGGAACAACACAGCACAAGCTGCGCTAGAAGTAATTCTGAGCTTGTGATCAATCGACTGGCTCGTAAAGGATCTGGCCGCTAAGAGTACCCTAAGATTAAGGAAATCCAATCTATGGAACCAGACCAACTACGGTAGCTCGAGGATATTGCCAGTGATAGGGAAATCATGGCGAACACGAATCCACATCTGCTAGACCAGACAACAGACTATATGCTCATCAAAAATGATTTTGGAGAAAATATAAGGATTCGCATCCCGACAAGAGAAGAATGGGAAAGCAACCGAGTAATGAACACTCAAGAGATAGCAGTCTACACAAATGCTTGCATAACTTCAGGAGACACAGGTATAGGCATCTTCTCAGAGGAACGAGACATCAGACGATCTTTAAGGCTATCGGATGGCTGTAATGTTCTACAAGCAGATGTTTACGCTATAAAAAAAGCAACCAGTTATATACGAAGAAAAATCTCTCTCGATGGCAGATGACCCACCACTTGTGACGATCAACACACTGAAGGAAGCTATCGGAACTACCATCAAGCCCAAGCGGCAAAAGACGTGACTACTCCGTGAGGACTGCGTCGAAGTCTGTCGAATGTCTACAGCTCGAAGAATGTGCCCAATGGTAGATAGCCAGACAAAACAACTACTAAAGTAAACAAAGAACCTAGTAAGCATAATTGTAGGTGTCATCACTGGAAACAGCTCCACGTCGGTAAACCTCGTGAGATGGCAGATTTCCAACGATGACTCCTGCAGAGAATGCGATGAGGCAGAAGAAACCATAAAGCAACCACTGTGCCACTGTCCGGCACTAGAATACCGACGCTTTAAAACTTTAGGGCAAGGTTTTTTGGGGGTACTAGAGGAAGCAGCAGAAGCCATCTTTGCAAAGAGCTGGAAGTGCATTAACGCAAAGAAAGAATGAGAGATCACACTGCCCTTTTTTATTTCCACCTATACCTATATTTATTTATATAAGAATAAAGAGGATTTAAGCTACTTTACAAATCTGCAAATTATCTCTTTCAGATTGGAATCTGGCTGCCGTTCTTCAGAGCCCACGCTGCCAACGGCTCACCTAGACGTGAACCCTACCGTTTCAACAACGATACCCAGATAATCCTTCGTGAAACCATCGGATTGCGTTACAAGCACTTGCCTTACTGGTACACCTTGTTCTACGAGCACACCAGAACTGGAGACCCAATCGTACGTCCTCTGCTTTACGAATACCCTGAAGATAAAACTGGACACAGTCTTACCGATCAACTGTTAGTAGGTAGGTACAGTCTAGTTATAGTTCCCTCTAGTTCATATCATGTATACAATATGTCCACTGATTGTCTTTACAAGAGGAAAAACTTTTTATTATTAACATTTTGAGAAAAATGCATTCTTCATAAAATTTTTTGTTTTTTCTAAAATAATTAATCCCGTTTATACTTTTCCAAATTTCCACACCGTTTTAGAGAACATTAAAAAAAACATGAAAATATGTTGATTTTTTCTAAGTCGTAAAAAATAAAAGGCATTTCTATGGTAATATAATTTCGATTTCGTTCTCTGATAGATGGTTATTATTAATTTTCATTAACATCATATTTTTGGTGATGTTAAAATATCATTTAAAGTATCAAATTTTCCGATAACTATTATCACCCTTTCCGTAGCATTAAATTAAATAATTTTGTGCTTTTGTAACATCTTAAAACAGCAAAAAATATGACGTTAATTAAAATTCCATTAATAACAATCTATCAAAGAGTAAAAACAAAATTGCATTACCATAGAAACACGTTTTGATTTTTACGCCTTAGAAAAAATCAACCACGGATAACGGAACTAAGCTTGATTTTCATGCATCCGTTGTCCGACGATACGTTGATACGATATTAATTTCATTGGTTGTATTTAAAGGCTTGGATTGATTAACCGTTTCTAACCAATCAAAGTCATTAAATTCAACCAATAAAATTAATATCGTATCATCGTGTCGTCGGATAACGGATGGATGAAAATCAAGCTTTAAGCTTCCGTTATACGGTGATACGTTGGTCCGTTGATACGTTTGTACGTTGGTTGAATCCGTTATACGTTGATCCGACGGTGCTCTGATTGGTCATAGCGTTTTTGCGCCACTTTTCATCCTAAAATATTTTACTTCAGCCCGTCAATGGACCCGTTCATACGATAACGGACGTTTTGGCACTTTTTTGACAAATTTAATCTAACCATGATCTAACCTTAATAAAAATATAAGCAAAATAGCAAAATCGTTATGGAAACGAAAATATAAAATGACACCAACGTATTATATATCCGATAAACGGAGCCTTAAAAATGCAATAAATTTAAAAAATGCGTTATTTTCTAACCAATAAAAGTCTTTAAATTCTACCAATAAAATTAATATCGTATCAACGTATCGTCGGACAACGGATGCATGAAAATCAAGCTTTACCCGCACAATAAACGGAATTACCCATTTTAGAACAAGCAAAAATTTTTGTGAAGAATGCATTTTTCTCAAAATGTCAATAATAAAATATTTTTCCTCTTGTAAAGACAATCTCGGCACATACTGTATATAGGAAGCAAAATTCAAATGATGATTAAAGATAGATTTATTGTGAAATGGGGTAGTGTGAATGCAATATTCAGTTTTGTTGACCCGACTGTTGTGTCAACCAAATTGGACATATGTAGGCCGCATTATATTTGTTATTATACTGTTTCATAACATTCTGTAGATAACAAAAGACAACAAAAGACAAAAATAATAATAAATCTAAGTAATTTAATAATAAGTGTCTTTTGGAGTATAAATAATTAATAAATTTACTTTATGATATCAATAAATTTACAACAATAATAATTTTAAACAGTAAAGTATTTTTTATAACAAAAAATCTACCGGGTAGTGCATCGTTGTTTGAATCAGAAAATCGCATGCAAATTTTGAATTGTCCAGATATTGGCTCCCTTGTTAATTTTTCAGCGAAGTTGTAAATAATTTTTTTAAAGGTCTGCGTATGCTGAATACACATGCCAAATTTGAACAATTTTGATGAAGCCGATTTTAAGTAATTTAAGAAAAACAGCATCTACTTTTAAATTAAAACTAAACAAGTAACAATGCAAAACCAAGCAAATGCCAACTTACCTTAAATTGTCATCCTATAACTTTGTCAATGTCAAATTATATTTTCTAAACCTTATATTAATATTAATAATAATACAATAAATCATTTTTAATGGATATTTTATTTTCGTAATTTTTTAGGTAGCGATATTCTGACTTCCTCTGTATATGAGTCTAATGCTACTTCAGTATCCATTTACTTCCCTGGAAATAACCAATCCTGGTTCCAAGTTACTGGAAATCGGGTGGTCTTTGAGAGTGGCACATGGAGTGATGTTCCAGTTGATTTAACATTCGTAAGTACCTTTTGCTATAAATATATGCTAGTTTATTACCTAATAAGTTTTTTAACTTATATGTATATAGTGACATTATTTAATAATAATTGTATTATATATAATAATAATATATGTCTTTTTAATGATTGACATTTTGAGAAAAATGTATTCTTCATAAAAAAAATTCCTTGTTCTAAAATGGTTAATCCCGTTTATACTTTTCCAAATCCTAAAAATCAAAACGCGTTTCTATAATAATATAGCTTCGTTTTCTTTCTTTGATATATTACTGTTAATCATAGAATTTTAATTAACTTTATGTTTCTTATTGTTTTAAAATCTTAAAGAAGCACAAACCGTATTCAATACTACGGAAAGGGCTACGGATAGCTATCGGAAAATATGATACTTACAACAGCAAAGAATATGACAGTAATCAAAATTAATAATAACTTTAGGAAAAATATAAACGAACCCTTTTAGAACAAAAAAAATCATGAAGAATGCATTTTTCCCAAAATGCCAATAATAAAAATATTTTCCCTCTTGTAAAGACAATCCGGGAAAATAAGACTGTACAAAAAAAACTAAATAAAGAAATTTTATTTCATACTATATTGTAAAACACACCTTTCCATACATGATTTCAATATAAAAAGTCCGGAAAATAAGGTTTTATTGTGTTTGTATTTGTTGTTTCCACAAGTAAATACAATAGTATCGGTATAGTATATAATACATACATACATACATACATACATAGCCGTTACTCGCTGACGAGTATTCGACACACATAAAGAAAATGGTCACGCAAGGCGTTTTCTTTCATGAGCTTTTCTGTGACTGAAAAGCCCGATACGTGATGTTATCTGCCTACCGCACTCCGGACATTCAAAAATCTCATTGCTTTGTTGCCTCTCTACTTTTTGGTTGCCGCTGTTAACTGAGTTTACAACCCTTCTCCATTGAGTTCTATTGTGAGCTGCTTTTTCCCACTCATTCTGCATGTTAATTCCCTTTAAATTTTCGTGGAAAATGTCCTTGTATCTTTTCAGTTGTCCACCCGGCCTCCTCTTACCGTCCACAAGCTCACCGTAAAGCAGAGATTTTGGTATGCGGTTTTCTTGCATTCTGCATACGTGACCAGCCCATCTTAAGCGGGATTTTGTGACCATGACTTCAATACTCTCGCAGTTAGATTTTTCAAGGACCGATACGTTTGAGACATGATGGAACCACCGGACTCTTAAGAGTTGTCTAAGGTGTCTCTGTTGCAACTTGTTCAATGCGTTCATGTGTCGGCGGTAAGGCACCCAGGTTTCGCTCCCATATATCATGGTGGGGATTATAATTGCTCGGTATACTGCAAGTTTTGTTTTTGTACTCAAGTCATGATTGTAGAAAACCCTGTCTTTTAATTTCCAGAATGCCCTTGAGGCGCTACTAATCCTGTGCTGAATTTCAGAGTCAATATTGGCCTTTTCCGAAATCAAACTGCCAAGGTAATTGAATTCCGCCACATATTCCAATAGTTCTTCTCCGATTTTTATAGCATTGTTGTGATCTTCCGGGTGAGTGCACATGATTTTAGTTTTGTCGATGTTTAGCTTAAGGCTCAAAGCCTCGTATGCCCAGGTATATGTGTTCAACATTTCTTGTAATTGTTGTACCGTGTTTGCAACTAGAGTGCAGTCGTCAGCGTATTGAAGTTCTGTGATAAATTTTGTACGTGTTTTTGCCCTGAGTCTTTTTATGTTGAACAGACCGCCGTCATATCAGTATCTAATGCCCAATCCTCTCTCCTGCAGTTTGCTGTCCACTATAATGGAGAGCGCTGCCATGAATATGTTGAATAGGAGAGGCGCTAAGACACATCCCTGCCTAACTCCTGTATTTGTTAGGAATGGGTCTCTCAGTGATCCATGATGTGACACTCTTGACTTGTTGTTTTGGAGGCTTTTACACACTGTAAGAAATTTGTTGGGTACTCCGAACTTTTCCATAATTGCCCAAAGCGCATCTCTGTTCACAGAGTCGAAGGCTTTTGTTAGATCGATGAATGCAACATAAAGTTTAGACTCCTGCTCTTTTACTTTTTCCTGTAGTTGACGGATGGAAAATATGGAATCGACGGTGCCGCGGTTGGTACGAAAACCCCTTTGCGATTCTGGAAGGATTTTTTCTATATATGGGTGCAGGCGGTTTGACATTATTTTTGCAAGAATTTTTCCGCCGATAGCCAATAGCGAAATTCCCCGGTAATTTCCGCAGTCTGATGCACTTCCTTTGTTCTTAAATATATTCACTATATTCGCGTTCGAAAATCGTGAGGTACCTCTCCGCTTTCCCATACGACATCAAAGAGAGCCTTAAGATGATCCATAATTTCTTTACTTGCACACTTATAGATTTCCGCCGGAATCGCGTCACAGCCAGCTGATTTGTTGCTGTTTTATGGAGGTCTTTATTTCTTGTTCTGTTATTGGGATGTCTAATACATCGAGGCTGTTATACTGAGGTATTGTGTTTAGTGCTTCCATATTGGGGTTGTTTTCTTGGTTAAGGATATGGCTGTAATGTTCTTTCCAGTGATTTCTGATTTGTTCTTCCTCTTTTAGAAGTTCGCCATTTTGAGCCATGATTGGGCAGCTTACCTTCTTAGTTGGACCGTATACTTCTTTTACAGCCTCGAAGAATTTACGATAATCGTGATGAGTGGCGTACTCTTGAATCTGATTCGCTTTTTGTGACCACCAGTTATCCTTTACTTGGCGCAGTTCTCTTCGAAGGGTGTTGTTGGCTGCTTTAAAGTTATCTACCAGTCTTGGATTAAGTGGATTTGCAGTGACGGCTTGATGTGCTCTATGCTTTTGTTCCAAAAAAGCCTGTATATGCTGTTGATTTTCGTCAAACCAGTCTGGTTGTTTCTTTTTGTTCGACTTTCCCAGTACTGCTTCGCTGGTTTTATGAATCGCATCCCTTAATTGTGTCCAGTCTTGTTCAGCTTCCAATATTGAGATTGAAGTTATCGGTGGAAGTGATTCTTTGATGGCTTCCCGGAGGGCGTCGGCGGTATTCTTGTTCTCTAGATCCCGTACGTTCAATCTGGTCATGTTGTTTTGCTTTTTACAGCGTGGATGTTTGGGTTTTAACTGGATTTTCATTTTTGAAATTAAAAGTCGGTGGTCAGTGCCGCATTCGGCATCTATTCTAGCTTTTGTGAGCCTAACATCTTTTAGATGCATCCTTCGAACGATTATGTGGTCCAATTGATGCCAGTGGCCTGATCTAGGATGTTTCCAGGTATCTTTAAACTTGTTCATCAACATGAACCACGTATTGGTGATGCAAAGATTATACTCTGCGCATGTTGTTAATAAGCGTTCACCATTGCTATTTGCGTTTTCCATTGTTTTCCCAATACGTCAGGCCATATTTCCTGTTGTTTGCCTACACGGGCATTAAAGTCACCTAGCAAGATGATTCGTTCGTGCTTTGGAATTCGTTGAAAGGCATTTTGTAATGCTTGGTAAAATTTATCCTTATCTTCAATTTTAGCGTCAAGGGTGGGAGCGTAGGCACTAATGTTGTTGACGTAAGTTTTGTCTGATATGGGGTACCTTAGGGTCATAAGACGTTCGGAGACACCAATAGGTACTTCTGTTAACTTGGTGGCGATTTCGTTTTTGATCGCAATGCCTACACCATGAATTCTCCTGTGTGTTGCGGGGTGACCTTTCCAAAAGAAGGTGTAATGCTCCTCAGTGAGACTACCTTATCTGCAAAGCGTGTTTCGCTTAGAGCGGCAATATCTATATTTAATCGGTGGAGTTCCTGTGAGACCAGTGCTGTTCTTCTCTCTGGTCGATTTGAATTTATCTTGTCCAGTAGAGTGCGGACGTTCCACGCCGCGAACGTGAAACATTGATGTTTTTGTTTCTCCGATGATACGCTCAGTAGGCACCCCTCCCGGAGATCCGATTGAGGGGTATTTTACCTCCGGACGATAATTTTGTCCCACTCAAATGTTCCATCATTGCTGTGTGTAAGCTGCGTGAAAAGGTTTAACTGTGGCGGTTACGCTGCCGCACAGTTTTGGCTGCAACTGTAGCACGGGATGGCTATGGCACAGTGAGGACTGCGACGATAGTTCCCTTGTGCTACGTTCTCGGCCGGCTAGGTGTATTTTATTACTCCTTTTCCCCAGAAGATGGTAGGTCTGAGGGTTGTATAAGGTTATACCGCCTATACTCGGACGTCAGAGCCTCGTTTGTGTAAACAGGGTGCACCACGTGAAGGTGAGGTTGACTTTTGGGTAAGCTAGGCTATATGTATCGCTTCAATACCCCTTGCACCCCCTTGTATATAATAAACCATACATAATCGGGTTAAAATATACTTATAATACTTTATAATACTTATAATACTTTAAATAAATATTTAAAAACATAAGTTTTATTCAAACTGTATGAAAAGAACTGACATTGTACATTTTGTTATATTACAACAAAATACAAATTTATTTGCCTATGTATAACAAGATACTAAGATATATCACTTTTTTTATTTCAGAATCCAGTTTTCTACAGATCTGGAAGTATTATTCCTAGAAAACCCAATGTCCAAAGATCCACTGCTGATATTAAAGACGATCCTAACGAACTTCACGTTGTACCAGACCAGGTAATTTTTGAACAAAATACTAATTCAGTAATTTTATATTTTTAATCAATTTGCAAAAAAGTATATCAAATAATTTAACTGCTTTATAATACAAAATTTGATTGTAAAATCAAAATGTAGAGTGCGTATTTTATACTCAAAAATATATTTTCCAAGGAAATTTATAAACATGACAAATTTTATTTTATTAAAATATGCAAAAATTTTTGATTAGAATTAAATATGTCAACATAGAAATATTATTCTTTTTTTAGTAATAATATATTCTAATATCAACAAACTTCGTCGACCCAAATAAACATTTTATCATAACTTCACAAGTTCTGATTCACTTTTTATTATTTTTTAAACTATAATAATTAATAATTATTTTCAATAATGATTATTTAGAAATTTGAACTATACTGCTACACCTACTAAAATATTATTTATGGTCGCTAAAGAGACCTATTTTGATTATATATTCTTGGGCATGCCCTTTGATTTTAATATCAATTAATAATTCATATTACAAAATAATAATGTTGTAGTTTACATAAAAAAAATGGAGACATTTGTTGTCCGATTTGCTCCAAGTTTATCTAGATTTGTAATACCTAAATATTACAATTCTTATTATAATTCTATTTATATTTTGATTTTTTTCATATTTTTGTAAACATTTTTGTAGAACGGAAACGCTACCGGCAGAATCTACATTGACGACTTCGAAAGTTTCAACTACGCAAACGAGAAACAATACTTATATGTGAATCTGGACTACGATGCATCGTCTAAATCTGTTCAAATAACGTAAGTATCAGTTATTTTGTAATGCTGCTGGGTCTCACTATATACAATAGTGACAAATAGACTTCAAATTCATATTAACAATTTATAAGTTAACCAAAATTTCCAGTAAGATAAAATCGGTCTCTTTTTATCTTAAGCTTTTTCGAACCATAGTAAATTCGCTAAATATTTATGTCAAACTTATATGTCAGGGTGTCAAACTTATATGTTATTATATATATTATGTCAAACTTATATGTACAGGGTGTGTCTTAAAAAAGTGCAAATATTTTTAAGGGTGCTATATTTCGACCCCAGAAATACGTCTATAAGGTTTATTTCGCAAAAAAAGATGTTAAAAGAAGACTTTAATTTTTTTTACCGCAAATTATGCGGTAAATTATATATTAATATAATATTATAATAGTATATAATAGTATTATAACACACTAAAAGGGATGCAAATACAGAAAAAATCCAGGGGTCTCAAAAATGTTTTAAAAATAAAACAATTTAAAAATTCAAATCAATTATTAAAATATTTTTTGCTTAAATTTTGACCAAACCACTGGATCTTTTCTGGAGTATCTTTCTTGTAAATTTAATCTAATATAAGCGATACCAATTAAACTTATAGTTACGTAATCGAGGGCGCAAGTTCTAAATTCATTGTTGCCATCCATGGACATTTTCGGCGCCGGGCTGACTAACTGGAATTTAAAGTTCCCGCTGAGGATTCAGGTGGTAGCTCTGATGTAAAAAATGTCAAGTTGCCAATTTTTTTTTTATTTCCTGATATGGTCATTTGTTTTGATATTTCAGTTTTGTATGACGAGTTTTTGGTTTAAATGAATTATGTTGTGATATTTTATGCTTAGCAGATCTTACAATCGAACAGTGTTTTTTTTAGAGCCTCTTTTAGTGCAAAGTATATAAGATAGCTTAATAGCCAATACAAAAACTCATCGCAAATTTATTAGAATATTTTGAACGGAAATGCCTTAGTTATGGCTCTTTATGTCCCTTAAGTGTTGTTAGGGAGGTGAGTTTTGTTAATGTACATAAATAATAACTGTTTATATGTTTATAATTAATTTATTTTGGTTTCCTATAATATTTTGGTTAAAAGAAAATATGTAAAATTGGGCAACGCTGTGCTGGTCAAGCTTAATCACGTGACTAAAAGTTTAAATGGTATATATCTATGTTGCGATATTATCAAGATACACACACCCGAAAAGTCTAGGGATATTACAATTTTATCCAGCCATCGTCAGTAATTTTATTATTTGCATTTCTGATATAATAAAATTAAAATAAACAAATAGTTTCTAGGACGTATTGGAAATAAAAATGCGAAATTTACCGAATTTTTCAAATTTACCTTGATTTTTATTGATCTCAAAAGAATACACACATTTTTTTTTATTCTAAACTGTGAATTAAAAAAAAAGATAAAACCATTTTTACTTAATAAAGGGTATGGCCTCCTCTACTGTTCATTACAGCCCTACATCGTCTCTCCATGCTCCTGATCAGGTTGTCGATCTCTTCTTGAGGTACAACTTCTTGAGTACTTCGAGTTTCACTAGGCATACCCATTCTCAAAATTTTTCTTTGGACCGCATCCCATACGTGCTCGATGGGATTGAGGTCAGGAGATTGTACCGGCCAGGGTAAGATGTTTAATTGATGAGCATTGATAAACTCACTTACCACTCTGGCTGTATGAGGCCGTGCATTGTCATGCATGAGAATGAAGTTTCTCCCAAAATCATTGGCATATGGTAACACGACAGGCTCAAGAATTAAATCACGATATGTGATTCCTGTTAGAAACCTTTCAAGAAAAACGAGATCGGTTTTTCGGCCTAACTGGACTCCTCCCCAGACCATAACTGTTCCACCTTGATAAGGGTGCACGTCCTGAACATGATCCAACCGAATAAGATTTCCCGGTTCTCTCCATACCCTAAGCCTTCTCGAATCCGGATGAATTCCAAAGCGTGACTCATCCGTGAAGAGAACATTGGCCCATTGTTCATTCGACCACTGAACATGATCTTGAGCACACAAATATCGTACCTCTCGATTTCCTCTCGTTAAGGGTTGAACTCTCCAGGGGCGTCTGCTTCTTAAGTTGACCTCTCTTAATATATTGCGAACAGTGAAGTTTCCTGGAGAATTAAACTAAGCTCTGGTGCTGTAAGAGTCGGTCGGCGTCGAGCATTTAATTGTAAAAAATGATCTTGCTGAGGGGTAGTAATGCGATGTTGCCCTGTGTACCTTCAGCAACATCACCACTTTCACGGTAGCGTGCACTTAATCGCGATATGACACTTTGCGTTGTATTTAATGCTCTAGTTACGTCGATTTGGCGCATTCCAGCTTCGAGCATACCCATGGCCCTTAGCATTTCGTCCCTGTTAAGATGTCTACGCTCCATAATGTCGTTTAATACTAAACAGAGTTATTTGAATGAATTCTGGCCAGTTATCACAAAAACATAGCCAGTACAGGTTAAATTCGAACAATTGATGCTAGGTGCTTTTTATACATTTGACAAAAAATGCACTAACACTTCTGCAAATATCCCAAATTTAGAAATAACTAGTGTTACTACTTCGTTTCAATCGAAGTAGAAAGAATCGGCCTACAAATGTGTGGTTGTTTATTCAAAACATTTATTTTTAACTTTAATAAAATGATATCCCTAGAATTTTCCGGTGTGTGTATTATAGTTTTTAACTAAAAATTAAAAAAATAAAAAAGTATTTTCAAAAAAAATCCTTTTTTGTTAAAATGTTTGCCAAAAAAACTCATATACGAATTTCTGGGGTCCAAAAATATACTACCCTTAAAAATATTTGCACTTATTTAAGACTCACCCTGTAAAGTCTTGTGTTTAGTGGGATATTTCTTTCACTTACTTTACTGAGTCGACGTTATTTATTAAAGCCATTGATTTTTTCTACTTTAGATCAGTTGACTCAGACAATGATGCATCCAACTTCACTCTCTCCGTTCAAACGATATACTTGTACAACAAAAAAGGTAAACAACAATATAAATTATAAATATTTACGTTCCTTAATTATGTTTACGTTCTATTTCAGACGATGAAACTTTCACCATCGAAAAAGTTGAACAAACCAGAGACGGAGTATCTTTGGTAGATCTTGATCTTTCCACACAGCCAATCCTTTTGTAAATACTTTAATGATATTGTAATATAAATAGTTTTGAATAAAAAAAATAACTTAAGTCAGTTGTTTTATTGTCTTGTAGCCCTTCTTTTAGGTTTAAAGGTTACACGTTGTAAACGCAAAGATGTCTAGACGTAAATCAAGATGTGTAGGTACAGGGTAGGTCAAATTCGACCCTTTTAAATGGAAACACCCTTTTCTATAGGAGATAGACAAAAACTAATATCGGTATCTGGAGCTCAATTTTTGTCAAAAACATGATGGTGAAAACCGCATATCGATATCTGTTACAGTTTCGGAGTTACGGGGTGTTTTTCAAAAATATGCATTTTTAACAAATCGCTGTAACTTTTTTGTTATTGACTGATTTTTGTTATTTTGTATTTTTATGAAAATATTTCCAAAGCACCTTTTTACGAAGAATTTAATGGTTTAAGTATAATTTTTTTACAATTAATAATTTAAGAATTATCAACAGAAAAATTGATTTTTTATATGGGATACCCTGTATATTTTTAATTTATTGAAAATAATTTAAAATTACCATTCCAAAAATATAACACACTTGATATTTTGCTCCATTCGTCTTCGAGATATAGAGTATATAAAAATTCGCCCGCTTTAAATAAGTAGGCTTTGAACGGCACCGGCTGTAATGCAAAAAAAGCCTAGCTGTGAGCATCAATTAAAACGAAAATAATATTACGTGTGTTAAGTTAGCACAACCACTTTATAAAAAATGTATGAAACTAAAAATTAGCCGTAAATTAGCCGTAAATTAGCCGTAAATTTGCCGTGAAAACGAAAAATTTGCCGCTCTTAGCCAATTATGTTAAATCGATGGTTGTGCTAAGTTAATATTAAGTTAGCACAACCACCATTGGAAATCAGTGAAAGAACATAGCTAGGAATTTTATAGTATAGCAGGAATTTGCCGTTTTTTGCCGTTCTTAGATACAATTAAAAAAAATATCCTCCTATCATTCCCTATCCCCCTGCAACAAAAAATGTAATAGCGTCAAGGTCACATATTAAGTTAGCACAACCATTCCAGTAGACGTTAAGTAAAATGCCTGAAATTAGGTGGAACAATTGCCGTAAATTAGCCGTAAATACACCATGCAAACGAAAAATTTGCCGCTCTATTATTTGTTTACAAAATCGATATTTTTTTTAATTAACGTGATCGATAACGTTAAATTAGCGCGATTTTTCTTAAAATTCACTAAATGGTATCAATAATGACTTTATAGTACAACAGGAATATGCCGTAAACAAGCCGTGAAATCAAAAAAATTGCAGCTCTTTTATTTCGATTATGACACAAAATACAGGGTGTTCCATTTAAAATAGTAGATGAAAATACAACATTTAGTTTTGACTCACCTTGTATATATCAAACAAAATTGCAAATTCTGGAAGACCGAATTTTGAAGAAGACACTATTATTCAGTACTTCCTGTTAATTTTTTTTTAAATTCTGTGAATTTAAAATTTTCAGAGAACTTTAAATAAGCAATAAGTTTAGTTTAAAAACGGTTATATTTCAAAAACCATTAGGTATAGTATATGAAATTGGGGTATTTTGAAACAGAAATTTAGTGGCAAATCCACTGAGCTAAAAAAATATACAGTATCCCATTTAAAAATATACAACTTTGGTTTAAAAATATGTTTGAATCACCCTCTATGCTGACAAAAATATTTTCAAAATATTCGTTACCATTGTAACGCATTGTAACGTATTATATAAAAAATGAAATGAAAATTCACAAACCAAAAACCTAACATAGAGCTTTTTCGGAAGCCTGAATCACCCTGTAGATTTTATAAAAAAATAATAGAGCGGCAAATTTTTCGATTTCACGGCTTATTTACGGCATATTCCTTTTGTACTAAAAAGTTATTATTGATCCCATTTAGTGAATTTTAAGAAAAATCGCGCTAATTTAACGTTACTGTTTACGTTAATTATCGATTTTGTAAACAAATAATAGAGCGGCAAATTTTTCGTTTGCATGGTGTATTTACGGCTAATTTACGGCAATTATTCCACCTAATTTCAGACATTTTACTTAACGTTTACTGGAATGGTTGTGCTAACTTAATATGTGACCTTGACGCTATTACATTTTTTGTTACAGGAGGATAGGGAATGATCGGAGGATATTTTTTTTAATTGTATCTAAGAACGGCAAAAAAACGGCAAATTCCTGCTATGCTATAAAATTCCTAACTATGTTCTTTCACTGATTTCCAATGGTGGTTGTGCTAACTTAATATTAACTTAGCACAACCATCGATTTAACATACTTAGCGAAGAGCGGCAAATTTTTCGTTTTCACGGCAAATTTACGGCTAATTTACGGCAATTATTCCACATAGTTTCATACATTTTTTTAAAGTGGTTGTGCTAACTTAACACACGTAATAATATTTGCTATGAGAGATGCAGAGTTTTATAACAATTTAAAATATATTTCACCCACATCAACACATTTAAACTATATCTAATAACAATAAAAATAAATAGCAAACCAAGACATGAGATTTTACTACAGGTGTTCGACATATCGACCGTCTTCTGTTATGAACAGACGGGGCAGTTTTTGAACATTTCTCGCGGAATTCAATAACTCATTGGGGGGTGAAAGATACTCTCTCATAACTGCTAAGTATTTCTAATTCTTGTCTAGATTATACGGAAGAATAAGGAACCGTTATTCTTCCGCAAATATATCCATAGGATTAGATCCATGGGCATGGATCTAAGTCAGGCGTCCTCGACGGCCAACAGCTGGGATCTTGGTTAGCTATTCAATTATTCTTGAAATTGGCTGCAAAAATTGACTGATAACTTCAGCGTTCAGAGGCGGTGCGTCGTCTTGCTGGAAAAAATATGTTTTCGAGTTCCATTAAGGTCATATCATCAACAAGGGGTCCAAAGCCTACTATTTAAAAGAGGTGGACTTTTAAAAATTCTGTATTTCGAAGGGGATTATAACAAAATATCAAGTGTGCTATATTTCTGGAAAGGTAATTTTAAATTCTTTTCAGTTAATTAAAAATATAGAGGGTGTCCCAAATAAAAAATCAATTTTTCTCTTGATAACTCTTAAATTATTAATTTAAAAAAAAATATACTTAAACCATTAAATTCTACGTAAAATTGTGCTTTGGAAATGTTTTCATAGAAATATAAAATGTTCCATAGCAAAAAAGTTACAGCGATTTTTTAAAAATGGACATTTTTGAAAAACACCCCGTAACTCCGAAACGGTAACAGATATTGATGTGCGGTTTTCACCATCATGTTTTTGATAAAAATTGAGCTCCAGACATCGATATTAGTTTTCGTCTATCTCCTATAGAAAAGGGTGTTTCCATTTAAAAGCATCGAATTTGACCCACCCTGTACATTGATTTTACAGGCTGCTAGAAGTTAAAGAAAGAATATTGATAGTAGAGACACAGAACAGATTTAGATGAGGGTTTTTCTGAAAACATACAAATACAACGAGATGTACGTCAGGGATGCATCTTCTCTCCCCTCCTTTACAATATATACAGGGTTGTTCACCACATACAACACGGAGTATTGTAGCTAAACGATTAGATTTTTAGAAATTGTAAGTTTTGGGTTCGATGAAGAACTATTAAAGCTACAATTTAAAAATATTTTTACAAGATACAGAGTGTCTCAAATAAATAAAAAATATCAAAGTTGTATTTTTTTAAATGGAACACGCTGTATATTATTACATTTTTAGTTTCTGCGATTAAAATAAAGGTAAATTTGATTAAGATCAACCAAACCGTTTTTGAAATATTTTCAATTTTGTGAAATTACAGTAAAATTTTTAAGGCTTTATTTCTCCAAAGTTACCAAAGTTTTTAATACTAAGTATTTACTAAAGTTTAATTATTGATCAGTTATTTTGTTGCAATAATAAAAATAATACTACCTCATACAAAGTGTCTAATAATTTATTTCAAATAATTTCTAGCTTTAACCCGCAATAACTTGTTTAATTTAAATGGAACGCCCTGTATATTTTAGGAGAATCAGATGCACAATTTAATTGTCTATCAAACTGTATTACCTTTTTTTACCTATCCCTTCAAGTTTCCATAGAAAATGCATTTTCTTAAAATTTAGACCTTTTTTATCAATATACCCATGGAATAATTGACATTTGTCGAATGTTTTCTTCTTTAGAGAAAGTGACATTCTAGATTGAATATGATTGAATTTCCTCCATAAGTTATCCATGCTAACAAATATTCTACTATTGATTTCTGGTAGTAGAGATCCTGAGCTGTGTATTAGTTAACCCAAAGATATATATTCTTCAACTATTTCAAGAGTTGTGTTATTTATTAGAATGTCTTTTCTGTCAACTAGTTCGTTGTACATTACTTTAGTTTTTGCTAAATTCTTTTTGAAACCCACTTTATTATTTAGTTCGCTAATTTGTGCTTGTATTTCAGGACTATTGGACTATTGGCAATTAGGACTATGTCATCAGCGAACCTTAGATGGTTAAGATATTCAATTATAACTGTTACAAAAGTAAGTTAACCAAGAATTAATAGAATATATATATAGAAGTTAAATATCCCTTTGTGCGGAAAAAGTTAGTAGAATATGATCAATCAATATTGGTTGTTGTTGGTCAAAATAAAAAAAAAACTTTTATACAATAGGTTGGAAAACATCTATTTTCAAAAGGAAACGGGTATTTCACATTCATCGCAAAACAGTTTTAGTCAAAAATGGTATCGACTAAATGTGTTCATGAATGATGCTTCGATACAAATTAAATGGACCAGCGGACACTGGTTAGTCGCGAGCGTTAAAACAGGCTTAGGTTTAGGCTCGTTTAGTTACAGTCAGGCTTCGTTTTTAGGCCAGTCGGTACGTCGCACAGTGCTTCGTCCCATGGACAAAAATCGAAAAAAAAAGTTAAACTTTACTAATATCTGAATATGTAATTTTATACTTATAGCAATGTTCAACCATCCTGTATATTATTTTTCATAACCAGCGTTTTTTGT